TCTTCTGGTGGAACCGACCTTCGAATCTCTTCACCCATCACTTCTACTCGAAATGGAAGTAATCCCAACAGAAGTTTCTATCGTCTTATTCCAAAAATACTGAACAGAATTCCTGGCAAGACTGATTCACTCAAATGAATATCTGAATATTGTGTCAAAGGTGGCTAGAACGCTGGTCACTGAGCCAGCCGCTTGAAGAGAACGATCTTGTTCTACTTCTGGAATAAAAAGATGGAAAGAGATTTTGCCAACAAGACCTTTTGTGACTTGACTAACTCTTTAGGCTTTCCAGCAGATTAAAGCAAGATCCAAGCAAGGCCGGAATAGAGTGTGAAGAAGTTACGGATTTCCTGCTTACCTTTGGCCAATTTGGAAGCAGCTCTATGGCAAGTTCTGCATCCTGAAGAGCGAAAGCCGTGAATCCGTTAGCTAACTGTGCCTCAGCACGGAGCAGAATGCTAGTGTGGGATGAAGGAACTGAAAATAAAAAGGTTCTTTTATAAATAGATAGTACCTATTTATGGTCAGGAAATGACTTGAGAGGGTCAATAAAAAACATACGCGAAATTAAAGTACTAACTTGATAATGTATACAATCATATAACCCTAAAAATAATCTTAGTCTGAGCTAAAATTCTCACCTTTTCCGATGATCTCGTTGTATTTGCTAATTGCTTTCTCATACAGGCCCCTGTTAATGTATTCTCCGGCCCTATCTAGTTCTGCATATTCCTCAATTATAAATGGCCAGAGCAGGCTCGTTATTCGAGAGATAAGCACACAGGGACGCAATTTTATGCTTTTTTGCACAGTTGGGCAAAGGTGGCAAGTAAAATTATAGTCCACACAGTCTCGGCAGAAAGTGTGTCCACAAAAGAGTACAGTTGGTGAGCGAAGAATGGCACAACAGGAAGGGCAGATAAGTAGGCGGAGTATAGAGAGGTGAATGTCGGAACCTGCAGCAAGTCCATATTTACTATTACATTCTGTTTCTGCGATCCAGGGCGTAGTTCTAGCTCGAGATAACATGGAGGCGAAGCTTTTCCGTGACACGTATTTATTTGCACAAAGCTTGAATAATTGAGTAATAACCGCCTCTCGGTTTCCAGAAGATGGAGGAGGCGTGTACCCCTCCATGAGCCGAGCCATCGCTCCATAGGCGATACAGAAGACAGGATGGACAACGAAAAACTCGACAACTCGTAGCAATCTAGACTCGTTGACCTGAGCTGCGGTTTTCTGAGGTACAAACAAATCATAAAAACAGTAAATTATCACAACAATAAAATTCAATCATATAGCCCTGAGAAAGGACAGAAATTCCTGAATGAAAGATATTGCATAACATGTTACATGGTAACACGTTTTAATATGTATTTTTATTTTTAATTTAAAAGATATTTAATAAGAGGCGAGTGAATGTTTAAACTTTTTTTCGACTAAATGAATTAATTGGATCATTGAGTAATTGTCAATAAATCAGGTGTAGCTTAAATTTAACTTCCTGAAGCGGTATCTAGCTCTTACTCATCAGAGGTCTAAAAGCTCGGAGATACACTTGGTCTGATGCAGAAACAAATGGGTTTGGTTGCAAAAAAATGCAGCAGTACTATTTCCAAAAATATACAGAGGCTAAGTATATTAAGTCGGCCAAAACAAAGTTAGCTAATGACTAATGCGATTACGCATAAGGCTAGATCATTTATATCACAAAAATAGACATAATTGTTTATATAATTTGCCAAAAATGGCCAAGTCCTACCCTTTTGTGGCGACGCACCATTGCATATCCAGATCATAAAGAAGACCCGTTGGATGCTGGCCTCAAATTTACACAGGCACTATGAGTAAAAACACAAAGTCATTGAATGTAAGGAAGAATTTAAAAAATGCGCGCAATTGTAAATTATTATATAATTTATTGATTTTTCCCATTATGATGTTATCGCAAACTCATTTGATGGTTTCAAATATAAAGAAATTTCTGGTACTGCGAGAAGCGGTTCGTCATCTGACTGATTTACACAATATTCTGGAAACGGCATATAAAGTCATCTTGCAGCCAAAAGTTTCCCGACTTAGGTGTATACTGCTGCCTATTTAGCACTATTAGGCTACTACTAAATAG